CATCAGATTCAGGAGGTGGAAGTAGCCGAAAGGCACGGGCAACCTCACCGCTGCGCAGCCCGCTCTGTGTGTAAGCAATGCTGCGTTGCCTCTCATCCTGGCGAACCGCTGTCTCCATCATAATCCGCATGTGCCCTGACATTCCACAAAGCTGCCTTCACAGGCCTCCGACGTCGCATGAATTTCAAGACGCGGGCCAACTGAACTGTCGATCCTGTCGCTGGGGCAAATTCGTAATCGCGGGTCGTGATATATTGCCCCGGGGCGGCCCAAAGCCCGAAAAAAAAAAAAATGAACTTCAGGCGTTGTGTTTTTAGAAGTCTGGGTAGGCTCATCCCCGTTCCATTGGAAACCCACCGCCCCTGCCACTATCCTGCCAGGTAGTTCGGATTGCGCGGAACCGTGGCCAAAAAGAGCCGCCCAAGCACAGGAGACCCCAAAAAACGGCACGATGCACTCCTTCCCCTCCTCCATCATCCTCATCTCCTCCTCATCCTGTGTGCCTCCTCCTCCTCCTCCTCCTCCTCCTCCTCCTCCTCCTCCTCCTCCTCCTCCTCCTCCTCCTCCTCCTCCTCTCCTCCTCCTCCTCCTCCTCCTCCCTACTCGTCCTCCTCCTCGTCCTCATCCTCCTCCCCCTCATCCTCCTCCCTCCTCGTCCCCGTCCTCCTCCCCCTCCTCCTCCTCCTCCTCCTCCTCCTCCTCCTCATCCTCCTCCTCCTCATCATCATCATCACCACCACCACCACCATCATCATCATCAGCATCATCAGCATCGTCCTCCTCCTCCTCATCATCATCATCATCATCATCATCATCATCATCATCATCATCATCATCATCATCATCATCATCATCATCATAAAAATCATCATCATCATCATCATCATCATCATCATCATCATCACCATCATCAGCATCATCATCAGCATCGTCATCTTCATCTTCATCATCATCATCATCATCATCATCATCATCATCACCATCCTCATCCTCATCCTCATCCTCATCATCATCATCATCAGCATCACCATCATCAGCATCATCCTCATAGTCAGCATCATCAGCATCATCATCAGCATCAGCAGAAGCATCATCAGCAGCATCATATTCACTATCACTATCAGCATCCTAATCATCATCAGCAGCAGCATCATCAGCAGCATCAGTAGCAGCATCAGCAGCATCAGCATCATCATCGTCAGCATCGTCATCATCAGCATCATCAGCATCATCAGCAGCAGCATCATTGTCACCACCATCATCATCAGAATCAGCAGAATCATCATCCTGCTCCTCATCATCATGGTCGTCCCCATCCCCATCGTCATCCCCGTCCTCATCCTAACCATTATCTCCAGCTGATCCTCCTCCTCCACTTCCTCCACCGCTCCATCGTCTCATCTCCTCCTCTTTCTCCACCTCTACTCTCCTCTCTTTCCGCCTCCACCTCCTCTCGTCAGCATTATCAGCATCTTCCTCGTCCTTATCTTCGCCCCTCAATATAACAATGGTGATGTTAGTAATGATTCTAATTCTAATAATAATCATAATGGTACTACCAAGCATCATCATAAAGAAACCAGAACAGAAAAACAAAAAAAAACATCAGCATCATCTTCATCACCATCGTCGTCAGCAGCCGCATCATTATCATAATCATCGTCAGCAGCAGCAGCAGCATCAGCATCATCATCAACAACATCGTCGTCACCGTCATCGTCGTCTTCGTCGTCGGCACAGCATCATGATCATCATCATCATCGTCAGCAGCAGCAGCAGCATCGTCATCATCACCAGCATCAGCATCAGCATCATCATCAACATCGTCATCGTCGTCATCGTCATCATCATCATCAGCCGCAGCATCGCCATCATCCTTCATGGTCACCAACAGCATCATCATCATCATAAGCAGCAGCAGGAGCATCGTCAGCATCATCATCAGCAGCGGCAGCATCGCCATCATCCTTCATTACCACCAACATCATCATCATCATTAGCAGCGGCAGCAGCATCATCATCATCATCAGCCGTATCATCGACAGGATCATCATAATCAAAAGCCTAATGTTAATCGTACTCATCATGTCCATCATCAGCCGCAACATCGTCGCCATCATCATAAGCATCATCGTCATCACCATCATCAGCATCATAATAATCATAAGCAACAGCATCGTCTGCATCCGAGTCAGCATCGTCATCATCAACATCGTCACCACCAACTGCATCACCGTCATCATCGTTAACATCGTCATCTCCATCAGCAGCAGCAACAGCATCAGTGTCAGCAACATCCTTCTCATCCTCCTTCTCCTTATCCCCCGCCTTTGTCTGCTCCTCCTCCTCTCCATGTGTGTCCCTCCTCATCCACATCCTTCTCTCTGTCTCTTCCTCCCCCGTCTCTCCATCTTCTCTCCTCCCCTCCTGATCCTTCGCATCCTTCAAGGCCGGTCGGAAGGGCGGGCATGGCGTTTCGCCTGAATCTTCCCCCCCACCAAGTATGACCCTGAAGCAGCTTGATCATTGGCAACGGTTTTACATATGGAGGGCGGGTTGTTTGCAATATGTGCCTTTCGCCTTAGCGCCGCGCACCATCGTTATTACAAGTTGCAAGAGTTTCACTGGTTGTCGTTCCCAAATTGTGGCTCTCGCCTTGGCGCCGCGCACACTCGTCTTGAAAATGTGCCAGAGCTTCACAGATTGAGGGCTAGTCGTTCTCAAAATGTGGCTATCGCTTTGGCACCTCGCACATTCGTCTTGAAAATATGCAAGAATTTTGCATTTTGAGGGCGGGTTGTTCTTAAATGCGGCTCTCGCCTCAGCACCGCGCAAATTCATATTCAAATATGCAAGAGCTTCACGGATTGAGGGCAACTCCTTTTCAAAGTGGCTCTCGCCTTAGCACCGCGCACGTTCGTCTTAAGCATGTGCAACACTTTCACGGATTCCCATGGTCGCTAGACATGTTGCTTTGGGAGGACTGCGAGGGCGCAATAGTTACATTGATTCGCGGTGTTAAGTCCCAGGCGTGATGTCCTGGCACGATTCGGGATCGTCAAGGCGCCGCAGTCAGAGAAATCCGTGGCGTTCGAGTCCCGAGGATGGTGGTTTGGCACGCTTCGGGGTCGTCAAACGGTTATTCCCAGCGAGGTAGTTCCCTCAGTGGAAATGAACCCTGATAGGGACCTATGAAGAAGGAGTTTGAAAGGAGGGTTGATTACGACATCGTTGATGAGTCTTGTGTTTACAATGGTCCTCCTGTTCCTCCTCCTTCTCATCCTCCTCCTCTCCATCGCCATCTCCCTTCTCCTCCTCCTCCTCCTCCTCCTCCTCCTCCTCCTCCTCCTCCTCCTCCTCGTTATCATCAGCATCCGACTCCTGATGACTCTCATCCTCCTCGTCCTCTCCTCCTCCTCCTCCTCCTCTTTATCGTCATCATCATCCGACCCCTAACGTTTCTCATCCTCCTCGTCCTCTCCTCCTCCTCCTCCTCCTCCGCCTCCGCCTCCGCCTCCGCGTCCTCCTCCTCCTCCTCAACCCCGTCCCTGTCCTTCTCTACCTATACTCTCCTCCCCTCCTCGTCAACTCCTCCTCCTCCTCCTCCTCCTCCTCCTCCTCCTCCTCCTCCTCCTCCTCCTCCTCCTCCTCCTCCGCCTCCTCCTCCTCCCTCTCATTCCCCCCTTTTCCGCATCCATCCCCCCCCCCATTCCCTCCCCCACCCTGTCCCGACCCCACCCCGGAACCCCGAAAAAACGGGGAACGCGGGCGGGAGCGCACGCGGGCGACGCACGGGGAGGGAGCGTTGGGGGGGGGGGGGGGGGCGGAGAGAGAAGGAGAAAGGAGAGGAGGAAAAGGAGGAGGGAGGAGGGAGGAAATGAGGAAGGATGAAGAGGGAGGGAGAGAGGAGGAGAGAGAGGAGAGGAGAGGGGAAAGTATGAGGAGAGGAGGAGGGGGGAAGGCGGACGGGCGAGAGGGGGGGGGGGAGGGGGGGGGGGGAGGAGGGAGGAGCGGGGGGGGCATTACCAATATCGGCGAATCCACAAAAAAAACGATATCAGACCAACCGTCTGGCGACTGCTGATAAGGGCCGCTGGCATGTACCTCCAGCACGCACCTGTACAGGTAGAATCGAGCCACATACACTGTGCTGTCTCCCTTTCGGCGTTCAAACCTACCACACGCATGAGACACACCGCGAGTTGAAGTGGTAATAAAACCACCCAGCTGCGCTGCATGCAACCCACACCAATTGAAACAATGAAACTCGACTGGATGCCAGCGTGGCTCATGTACGATGAACGGGAAACCAATAGCGTCTAGACGAAAGTGCACACAACCTCCAACGTCCAACAAGTGGAAACTGAGAGAACCACAATTTCTCGACAAATAATCCACAAACAGAAGAAACCGCCATGCACTGAATCCAAATGTGTTGAAAGACCCATTGAGGTACTGCAGCCACCACACGCGACCAGGCCCATGAAAAAAAAAACGGCACCAAATGCGCGGCACTGAATACGCACGGCGGGCACGCCCCCAGGGAGGGGGGGATGAGGGAGAGGAAGGTGTGTATGAGATAGAGTAAGGGGTGACGGATGAGGAGGAGGAGGAGGAGGAGGAGGAGGAGGAGGAGGAGGGGGGACGAGGGAGGAGGGAGGAGGGAGCAGGGATGAAGGGCGGGAGAGAGTGAGGGATGGAAGCGGGGAGGACAAAGGAAGAGGGAGGAGGAGAAGAAGCAGGGGAAGAAGTAAAAGTGAGCAGGTTGAAAGGGAGAGGCACCTCCTCCCCCGTATCCCGCGCCATCCCTCGTCACTCCAAGAACCTAAAAAAAAAAAAAAAAAAAAAAAAAAAAAAAAAACGAAACTGAGTACACGAAGCAGAACAGCACGAACGAGACGAGGTCAATGAAGCCGAGGTACACCAGGTCGAACGCGACCCACATGTGAGAACCCGAGAGCACGGAGAGCAGGGTGTTCTAGTCCTCCAGACGCCTCCAGGGCATGAAGCGCCTCCACCAGAGACGCACCCTCGCCGAGAACATCATCCCGATTCATGAAGCCCTCGAGGATGCCGCGGAGCCCGAGCCGATCAGCACGGGCGAGGACCACATCGTCCTTCTCGTCGTCAACGTGTTGAGCGTCATGTACGGAAAGAGCTGACTCCTGCACTACACTCCCCATCGGGCACGAAGATGACACAGCGCTCCCCTCCTCAGAGCCGTCCATGGCGGGGGGGGACCCCGTCCATGCGAAACTGGCGATCGCCTCCGACAGCGCCTCCACCGACGTGCGAGACTGCGCCAGGCGATGCCTCACCGCCGCAGCTGCTTCCGCCAATGCTGGCACCACGTTTGGCGACCGAATGCGAAACCTTTGCGAAATCGTCCTTGGCGGGCGCCTCTAACGGCTCCCGGACACCAGGCCAGAGCACCGAGGGCACCACAACGCCAGGGAGATGATCGATGAGAGAAGGCTGAAACTTCTGCGACTCCTCCAGGGCAGGAACGGGACGATCAGGAGCCGCCTGGTCGGTAGGCGCCTGCACCTCCGCCACGCCGTACGGGGTGTGCAGCCCGACCCAGAAATCCTCGAAGACCGACGCCATGACCGCGCCTGACGGGGCCGCCCGCAAAAGAGAGGCAGCAGCAGGCGGCGGGGCGTGCTTCGCCCAGTTCCCCTGGGCATCCAGGTCCTCGAACACCTTGAGGTTGAGCTGCGGCGCCAAGAATCGCCCGAACGAAGTGGGCGTCGTCGCTAACGGGGACGCTGTGGGAGCAATGTTTCGGCATACGAAATGAGAAAGCGACGCCGCGCCAGTCCTCCTCCCCCTTCGACTGATCCTCCCCTTTCTTCGACTCCTCCTCCTCCTCCTCCTTCTCCTTTTCCTCGTCCGCATCCTCATCATCATACTCATCCTCTCCCTCCTCATCCTCCGTTGTTGGTCCTCCGCCTCCTCGTCATCACCACCAGCACACCAACCATCATCCAAACCATGAACATCAGCAGCTGCATCATAATCGTAATAAGCATCCTTCTCCTACTCCTCTTCCTCATCCTCATCCTCATCAGCATGATCAACGTCAGTATCAGCATCAGCATCAGCATCAGCATCAACAGCATCACCATCATCAGTATCAGTATCAACATCAGCATCGTAATGTATCAACCTAAGCAACATCATCATCATCATCACCATCATCATCAGCATCATCATCATCATCCGTATCATCACCAGCATCATCAGCATCAGCAACATCATCATCATCAGCATCGTCAGCAGCAGCATCAGCATCGGCAACATCATAATCATCAGCATACTCATCAGCAACAGCATCAGCATCAGCATCATCAGCATCATCAACATCACCAGCACCATCATCGCCATCATCATCAGCATCGTTGGCATCATCCGCATCATCAGCAGCAGCGCCATCATCAGCATCCGCATAATCGGCATCATCAGCATCAGCATCAGCATCAGCAGCATCATCATCATCATCGGCAGCATCATCGTCATCATGAGCATCGTCAGCATCATCATCGCCAGCGTGATCGTCGTCCACATCACCATCATCAGCAATCATTCGCGAAATCATAAACAGCATCACTATCCACATGAGTGCCATCTTTACCACCACACACACATAATCGGTACCGTCGTCGTCAACATTAGCATCAAGGTCCCATGCATCACTCTCCCCATCACTATCATAGTTCGTCTCATCACCAGAAACATAGTCGTCATCATCATCATCAGCATCATCATCATACGCGGCAGCAGCAGCATCGCCATCATCGTCGTCACCACCACCACCACCACCACCATCGGCTTCAGTATCCTCATCATCGTCACCACCATCATCCATCATCCTGATCATCATCCTCATCGTCATCAGCATTGGCATCATCAGTATCGTCATCCTCCCCATCATCAACGGCAACCGCATCGTCGTCTGACTCGTCAAGGTCAGCATCTGTATCATGTGAATCGGCATAGTCACCTGCATCATCACAATCAACACCATCATCTACCAAGCCCCCGCCGACACACCGAGCGCTTAGATTAATAATCCTCATCTTCAGCAGCAGCATCATCAGCAGCGGCAACATCGCCCTCAGCATGATGATCTTCATCATCATCATCAGCAGCAGCATCACCACCACCATCACCATCATCATCACCATTATCCTCCTCCTCGTCCTCCTCGTCATCAGCATCACCATCACCATCATGATCATCATCCTCATCATCGTCATCATCATCATGATCTGCTTCCTCCGCATCCTCTCCCTGGCCCTCCTCTCTTCCTCTTCTCCTCTCACTCTTTCTCTTCCTCCTCCTCCTCTTCCTCATGTTCCTCCTCCTCCTGCTCCATCTCATCCTACTCCTCCTCATCATCATCTTCTTGCGCCACCTCCTGCTATTTCTCCTCCTCTCTCTTGTTGTCTACGTCCTTCTCGAACTGGCCCTCTCTAACTCCAGGCACCTCTGTCGACCCAGCTCTCCGTCAACAGATCGGACGGGCCAGACGCCTCGTCGACTAAGCAACCCGCGCGAATGGGGAGTGCGCGAAGGATGCCAGCCGTGTGGCACGCCAGAGGATTGATTGGCAGCGGCAGCTTCGCTGCCGACGCTGACGGGCTGCGGCTGCGACGACCCGAGGCCCCGTACGCGGGGGCGCTGACAAACCGGGGCACCGGCGCACCCTGAGAGAGCGGCGGCCGTGGGTCGAAGCATCCCCCATCACTCGCAGCGAGCTCTGCTGATCTACCAGCGATGCACCGGACTCACTCCAGACCCCCCAGCGCGGACTCACTCTCGGAGGCCTTATCACCGATCTGTCGGCGATGCATCTTCGATTCCAAATCGGTGTTTCCCCCCCCATCTGCCAGTCCCCCCAGTCCCCCTATCACTCGCAATTCCGTGCTAGAATCTGCAGAATGCCCTGGTGCTTACCGCGTCCAGGCCCCTGGGGCCCCCATAGAGGCCTCCTAGATGGGGTCCGAGTAGGTGGGGTCGGAGGATCCCGCCGCATTGCCAATGCATCGGCGACGTCGGCGGTGTATTGGCGAAGCCCGCGCGGAGAACAACGGGCTCCGCTTCAAGCCGCATCGCCGATGCATCGCTGATGCATCGGCGATGCATCGGCGATGCGGCGCAATCCCCCGACCCCATCTTCTTCGTCCCCATGTAGGAGCCTAGACCCCAGCTGCGGCTGCGGGAGGCAGCGGCAGCAGCAGCAGCCCACGGCGCGGGAGGCCGCACGCAAGGGCGCCTAACGGGAGCAAACGAGAAAAAGAGAGAGAGAGAGAGAGAGACAAACAACAAAAATACAACAACAAACAGAACCTTGGGGCGGACAATTAAAACAAAAGCAAAAAAGATGCCACCTGGTACGGTAGGGGAGGGGGGGAAGCAGGCCGAAGGAGGGCGGACAATCCTGGGCCGTCTGGGGGGCCGGGGGGGGGCTCACGGGCTGACAATTCAAAGCCGGGGGGTTGGCAATTCGGAGGGGCCGAAGGAGCCTGGCCGACGGAGGGCGGACAATCCCAGGTTGTATGGGAGGCTGCGGGGACCCCACGGGCTAGCAATTCGAAGCCGCAGGGGTGGCCATTCGGAACGGCAGGGGCCACAGGAGCCTGGCCGACGGAGGGCGGACAATCCCACGGGCTGACATTTCGAGTCCTCCTTTCCGTCCCTCCTGCGTCCTGCAGCTGCGAAAATACAGCGCCCTACCCTGTGCGTCTGCAGCGCCGCGGGTGGACAAGCGAGCGCAGGGGGGACGAACAGAACATCGGTTTGAACGCGACGGCAGAAAAATGGCCCGGGGGGGCCAGACTGTCAAAAAATCACTTCTGGCGGATGGATGTCTGGATTGTCATAGTCTGCCAACCTCGACTATTTTGAGGCCCCCAGGAGGATCGGGAGCGGCCAAGAGGGGGGTGTCCAAGAGGCGGGGTGCAAATCATGACCGGCGGCATGTGCGCGGCCCAGCGGGAAGCCAGGGACGCAATGAAATTCGCCGGCCCAACGGGCCAGGGCGTGCTAAGATCTCCGGTAACTGGTTAACAGTATTAACAGTATTTCTAGTTCGCGCGCGCGGGGCGGCCCCTGGGGGTCCCCCGGCGAAAAGTACCCCGACCAACGCCCGGTCGCCGCCCGACCGCCGCCCGACCAAGTCTACTCAGAGATGGTTTTCCTTCTGGGTGCGGCCTCTCAGGCTCCCCAGAGCGCGCTCAGAGTGCCCCAAGAGGCCCCCAAGACTGCCCAAGAGGCCCCCGAGACGCCCAAAGAGCGCTCGAAGACGCCGAAGATGACCCCAAGACGGCCCAAAAGGCCCCCAAGACAGCCCAAGAGGCCTCCAAGACGCCCCAAGAGCCTTCCAAGAGGCCTCCGAAGAGAGCCCCAAGAGGCCAAAATCGTTGATTTTCATTGGTTTTTTCGATGTTTTTTGTGTTCTGGCTTTTTCGGCTTCCGGACGCTCCAAGACGGCCCAAGAGGCCCCCAAGACCGCTCCAAGACGGCCCACGAAGCTCCCAAGACGGCGCCGAAACGACCCAAGAGAGCCCTCAAGACGGCCCAAGTGCCGCCCAAGACGGACCAAGAGGCCCCAAGACGGGCCCAAGAGGGACTCAGGAGGGATACCGAGAACTCAAAAATGGAGCCCTCCGTCCCAGAAGGCGCCCAGGAGGTCCCAAAGAGGCCCCAAGAGGCCTCCAAGAGGCCCCAAGATGTCGCCAAGAGGCCCCAGGAGACTCCCAGGAGGCCCAAAAGAAGCCCCAGAAGGCTTCAAACATGTCTCCCAGGCGCCCCCGAACGGCCTCTCAACAGACCCCAAGAGGCCCCCCAAAGAAGCATCTTGACGACGACTCTATTTCGCCCCATCGAGAGACGACCCCCAGGGAACTGCTTCACCATCAAAACTCCCCACGCAACGCGTCCGAACGACACCCGCCCCCAAGAGCGCAACATGGGCAACGAACACACAGACAAAAACCAGCGATGCCATATCACGGGCCGGCGGAATGAGCGAAGCGATTCAATAAGAAGAGGCGCCAAGAAATCTAGGGAAATATCATGGCCCACGCCATGATATCCCCCCCCCCTAGTCATAACCCCCCTCTTTTCCGCCCCCGAGAGGAGGGAGGGAGGGGGGCATTCTCTCATCGCTTGCTCCCATCAAGCTCGCGCCTCGCTGCGCGCGGAGCGCGGAGCGCGCGAAGCGCGGAGCGCGCGAAGAATAGCCTCGCGCCCTCGCGCCGCCCCCCCGTGCGGCGACGAGGAGGCCGAAGGGGGGGCTCGGAGCCGAACCGCGAGGCGCGCAGCGCGAACGCCCCCGCGCCCTCGCGGGCGCCCCGGGCAAAGGGGGGCCGCCGCGCGGGGGAGTCGGGGATGGACGGACCCCCCTTTAGTAAAACGTGGTTTAGTGAAAACGACCTGAGGCCCACACCTGGCGGGCGCGAGCCTGGAAAATAACGGCCACGGCGCCCTCTCGAGAACCGAAAACGGACAATTCACTAATCGACGTGTCACTGCTGGGGACTCTGTCCACCCCCGAGGGAGGGGCAAGGAGGGGCCTCACCGCCTCGAGGGCCTGCTCCTGCCGCTGGCGGAAGCCGAGCAGCGTGCCCGCGAAGTCCTGCCGCGGCGCGGATTTGCGGCCGCGCCCCCCCGGTGGGAGCGGGCCCGGGGCACCAACGGGCCGCCGCTGTGGGGAAGCCCTCCGCGTGCTGCTCTCTGGAAGAAGCACCAGGCATTTGTGGCGGCGCGCACGGGGGTAAAGCGACGCGAAGATCGGGACAAAATCGGATCGGGATAACTCGAAATCTCTGAGAATCGGCGGGTTTGGAGGATGTATTGGGCGCCGCGGCCGCTCCAGAGCGTTCCGGAACGCTCTGAGAGCGCTCCGGAACGCTCTGGAGCGATTCATCCCGATCCTAGCCCTGTTTTAGGGGGGGGCGGGGGGAGGGGGGAAAGGCTTCTTCAAGGAGGCTCTGCCTCTGAGAGAGGGCACCTGCCCTACATCCAACTGCCTGCGGACCAGGCCCGCACCTGCTGAGGAGCAGGGGTGCTTCTACGAAGCCTCCCCCCCCTCCCCTTACCCCCCCCCCCTGCGCGTGCCCGACCTTTGGACAACACCGAAGGAGCAGCACGCTGACGGACTCGCACCGGCGGCGTGTCACCGATCGAAGGGCAACGTCAGGGGGGCCACTCATCGGGAGCGGCCAAGAGGGGGGTGTCCAAGAGGGGGGGGTGCAAATCATGACCGGCGGCATGTGCGCGGCCCAGCGGGGGGGCCAGGGACGTAATGAAACAAGAAGAGGCGCCATGAAATCTGGGGAGATATCATGGCCCGCGCCATGAAATCCACCCCCCCCCAGCCATCACCCCCCTCTTTTCCGCCCCCGAACTTCAGGGGGGCCACTCCGGGGAGCGACACATCGACCCGGTATTGGCGACGCGTCGCCGATGCATCGGCACTAGGCCCCCGATGTAGGAGAACCCTCCACGACCCTGGGCGGGGTGGGCGAGCGGGGATCGGTGCAGTCCACCCGTTTTAGAGTAAGGACGCACGAGAAGGATGCAATGCTTCATACTATCATCCTCTTCCTCCTCCTCCTCCTCCTTCTTCCTCCTTCTTCTTCCTCTTCCTCCTCCTCCTCCTCCTCCTCCTCCTCCTCCTCCTCCTCCTCCTCCGTAAGGGCCCTGGACGGTCATGGCCACACAGCGCGAGCGGGGCGCGCCCCGCGAAAGCGGCCAGGGATGGGCCGAAGGGGAAGGCTGCAAGGGTACTCCAGATTTCGTTATAAAAGGGAGGGGGTCTCATTTCGGGGGGGGGTCTCTTCCAGGCTATCTTGGAGGGCCTGGGGGGGTCTGGGGACGATGTTTTGGAGGGTTCTCCCACGGGGGGGGGTCTAAAACTTCTCGTCTGGGAGGGTTGAGACCCCCTCCCTTTTATTACGAAATCTGGAGTAACCTTGGAATGTTGCTCATCCTTGATATGCGGGTTGACTGCACGCCTCCCCCTGGAGCCTTTCACCCCCTACAGTAGGCTCGTGCGGCGTCGGCGCGCGCCAAGGCTTGTGACACCGCGTCGATCGTTCAGCTTTGAATCAATCTCGGCCCCCGATCGTTCCAGGCTGAACTCAGTCGGGTCCAATGGCATCACCGTGTCCATCGGTGCCTCCGCGTCGCAGCACTCAACCTTGCACGCCTTCGCCGGCGTCGCTGGCGCGTCAACGCCACAGGAACCTGCCGCATATCCGACGTGAAGCTGCCCGGCCTGGTGGAGTCGGGACCGGCCAAGAGGGGCGGGGCCAGAAGGGGGGGGGTGCAAATCATGACCGGCGGCATGTGCGCGGCCCAGCGGGGGGACCAGGGACGTAATGAAACAAGAAGAGGCGCCACGAGATCCGGGGAGATATCATGGCCCCCGCCATGATATCCTCCCCCCCCCAGTCATCACCCCCCTCTTTTCCGCCCCCGAGATGTGAAGCTGCCCGGCCTGGTGGAGACGGGCCCCGGCCCCGGGGCATCCCCCCGGGACGACGCCGCCCTCCCGATGTCGTCTTCCGGAGGCCCTCGCCGGCGTCGCTGGCTCGCGCCGACGCCGCACGAACCCGCCGCGTACGCTGCTCCCGACGGGGCCCCAGCGGCCGCGGCGGCCCCAGCCTGGGAGCACCGTCGCGGGCGCAGGGCTCTCTCGGGCCCTGCGGCCCAGGGCCGGGCGTCCTGCCGAGCGAGCGGCCTCCCAGGGCATCATGGTGCAGGCACGGGGAGGACGAGGAGGGCGAGGAGAGGAGGAGGAGGAGGAGGAGGAGGAGGAGGAGGAGGAGGAGGAGGAGGAGGAGGAGGAGGAGGAGGAGAGAAGAGGAGGGAGAGGAGGGAAGAGAAGGAGGAGGAGGAAAAAGGAGGCGAGAAGGAGGATGAGGAAGAGGAGGTGAGGAGGAGGAGGAGGAGGAGGAGGAGGAGGAGGAGGAGGAGGAGGGAAAGCGAGGAGGAGGAGGAGGAGGAGGAGTCGAGGAGGGCCACCACATCTGACTGCCACTGCTGGCCTCGCCTCTGGGCTGTCGGCTCTGGCTTCCTGGTGCAGCGTGGCAAGGGATCGGGAAGCACTGCCCTCTGGCGGCGTAGACCTTCAGAGAGCCTGCACGAGCCTGCGGGCGAACCGCCCCCCTTGAGCCAGACCTCGGGAGGGTCGCGCGGCGCAGGGCGGCCTCGCGACCCCCCGGCGGGGAGGCGAAGGGAAGGAGGAGAGGGAGGGAGGGAGGCGCGAAGCGCGCGGCAGGGGGACATCCCCGGCCCCTGCCCCTGGCGCCACGCACCGAGAGAGATAGGGGGGGGGAGAACACCACGGGGCTCGTGACGCCGTTCTTGGGCTGGCGGCGCGAAGGAACCGTGGCCAGGCATTCTGGAAGCCTCTGGCCACATGTTAGGAAAAAATACACCGTGCAGTCCTAGCTACACAGAAGTCCTGCTCACATACCTCCACCTTATCATCATTCTCCCTGCTACGCCTCCTCCTCCTCCTCCTCCTCCTCCTCCTCGTCCTACTCCTCCTCCTCATCAACCTCATTATCATGATCATCCTTCTCCATTTCCTCCTTCTCCTCCTCATCCCTCGTCCTGCTCCGTACCGTCATTACCATCATCATCATCATCATCATCATCATCATCATCAGCATCATCATCATCACCATCATCAGCACCGTCAGCAGCGTCATCAGCATCATCAGCAGTAGCATCATCATCATCACCAACACCATCATCATCTGCATACTCATCAACAGCATCATCATCAACATCATCAGAATCAGCATCAATATCATCATCCCCATCGTCATCATCAGTAGCATCACCAGCACAATCAGCATCAGCATCAGCATCATCCGCCATCTCATCACCAAAACCATCATCATCATCAGCAGCAGTAGCATCATCAGCATAATCAGAATCATCATCATCATCATCAGCAGCAGCATCATCATCATCGTCATCCGCATGGCCGTCAGCATCAGCATCATCATCAGCATCACCATCACCAGCATCATCACCAGCATCATCATCATCATCATCATCAGTTTCAGCATCGGCACCATCATCACCAGCATCAGCAGCAACATCCGCATCAGCACCAGCATCATCAGCAGCAGCATCATGAGCATCATCACTCTCGTCATCATCATCAATATCATCAGCATCAGCATAATCATCAGCATAAGCATCATCAACAACAGCATCATCATCTTAGTTGTCGTCGTCTTCTCGTCCTCAACATCATCACCAGCAGCAACAACATCATCATCAGCAGCATCATCATGTTCGCCATCATCATCAACAACATCAGCATCATCAGCAGCAGCATTATCAGCATTATCATACGCATCAGCATCATCAGAATCAGCATCATGGACATGACCAGCATCACCAGCATCATCCTCATCAGCATAGGTATATGAACACTCTTCATCCTCATCATCATCATCATCATCATCATCATCATCATCATCGCCATCACCATCGTACCTCCTCATCAATACTCCTCATTACCATACACGCCCAGAAAGTAACTTGCTCTCACCATGGACGCTTTGTCGCCGACGTTGCAAAAGGAGTGGCAAGAACGGGACGGGCGCACATCGGGCGCAACAGGGCGAACGGCCACTCTCGCCTCGGCGCCGCGCTCACCGTGTTCAGGGCAATCGAGCTCCCGCTGCGGCGCGGCGAACATCTTTCGCACGCCAATTCGTTGGCACGCGAGCGAGGGAAAACATTGCTCTCCCGCCGGCGCCACGCAGGCTGCGCCTGGAAGTGGCACTCCCGCCTTGGCGCGGCGCGTTGTGTTCCCTCGCCAGGGTTTGGGGGGCCCGCGCGAGCGGGCGACCTGTCGCTCTCGCCCGACCTCCGTGCGCACGCCGCTCGAAAAGAGCGCTCCCGCGCAGCGCAGCCGCGGCGCCCGCCTCTTCCAGAAAAGCCGCAGGGCGGCGGCAGCGGCAGCGGCCGCGGGGCCGCGCGAGACCGGGCGAGACCGGGCCCTCGCCCGAGAGCCGAGCGGCGTCTGTGCAGGCGTGGCCGCGGTGCTTCGGCACGGCGCGGTGCTTCGCCTTCGCCACGCTCCTCGGGAGGTCTGCCGCTCCCGCCCCTGGCGTGGCCCGAGTGGCGGTCGTGTCGCCAAGCCGTGGGGAGCGGGGCCGCGCGCGAGCGCCGTCGGTTCGCTGGGCGGGACCGCACTTCAGAGCAGATGCCAGGTCGTGTCACCCTTGAAGCTGTGTTATGGGAGGGAGGTCGGGGATGGGCGGGGTCCACTGACTCGTTCGACCCGGCTCATCTGAGCTCCTCGTACGCCTCCTCGTTCTCCTCCTCGTCTCCCTCCCCCTCATCATACCACCACTACCACCCCGCCCTTGTCCTCCCCCTCGCTCTCCGCATACTTCAATATGCTCGCTGACATTGCTTTGATAGCCAGCGTGGACCCGAAAAAGTGATAGATTGCAATATGTGCGGCGCAATCTGGGTGGTGCAATCAACGTGGTGCAATGATGCAACCTAGGTGGCGCAATCCATGTAGCGCAATATACGTGGGGCAAAGCGAAAATGCGAAGCTACGCAACGCAATACAAAGTCATACAACTCCATGCA